GTTCTGTCTGTCATTTTTTATCTTGTAAGATAAAGATCGAAGGCAGGGATATTTTTCCCATAATGACAAGTGGCAAAGGTTCAGGATGTCTGTATACCCCCTTCAGGCAAAACCATGCCCGGGGTTCCTGAGAAAGAGGAACATCCAAATGTGTTCCCATTAAATTTGAGGAGGTAACTCCTGAAAGGTGTCTACTCACTTTCCCCATTATTTACCTAAGCCAGCCCACTGGAGGATGCAGCCTCCAAAATGGGGGAAAACCAGCAACCAACAATGGCAACCAATAATGGTAACCAACAACTAAAACAAAAATTAAATTTTAAATAAATTAATTAAATTAATAAATATTAAGGGAAAATAAATACTTAAAGACAATTTTAAATGAAAAAAATCAATTTTAAAATATTTCAAAATTTTATTAAAAATAAATAAATAAAAAGGGGAACACATACTTTACATGAAACATTTAGTTGCTTCTAAATGATACTTCCTGAAATCAACTAATTTCCAGGTAGAAAAAATAGTTTTGCTGCAAAGATGACAGGACATCACCAAAGCCATTTCCCTCATTTTCTTCTGAGAAAGCACCTTTCAGGAAGTGAGGTCATTTTTTCCAGCCTCATGCCTAAAAAATGGGCTGTGTTCCGACAGAGTACTGCTCTGTTAGAGCATCTTTGACAGGATGCATTGTGGCACCCTTTCTACTGCAGGAGTTGTACCAGGATAAATCCACATATTATATATAAAATGCACACGCAAATGTGGCAAGGAACAAAGCAGTCCCTTCAGTTTTTGAACACTCATCTTGCCCAGAAGCGAAAAGCCTGGTTTGTGCACAGCAGTGTAGCAATTCTTTAATACAAAAAATGGATGCAGCCCAAACCACAAAAAAACCCCCAAACCTTTTATATGTTGTGTTGCTAATTGAAACAATTTGCCATGATTTATTTATGCTGATGGAACAACACGCCAGAAGTTTCTAAGTCCCTGTAAAAGGACTGTTTCTTCCTCCAGGTTAGATCAATTTTCCATACCAGAATTCCTCAGTTTCAAAGAAAATTAGGTAACCCGTGCTTACTTAATTGCTGTGAAGCTATACTTCATGATGGGACCCCTGATGGCCTAGTGGTTAGCATGCGGGACTCTCACCGCTGCGACCCAGGTTCGATTCCCAGTCCCTCCCGGGCAGATGGAACCCGTTAGCCCTGTGAGGCCATCCATCTATGAGAAGGTCACTCTAAACAAACCTACGTCCTGAGGACCTCACTGCCATTGTCCAAGCTTGCTTGGCCCCGGCAGATGAACCTTAGGATTAAAGGGTGGGCTCAGTTCAGCGCAGGCTGTGTCTCACCTAAAAAATCCATTGCGCAGGCTGGAAAGGCAAAAGACCTTTCCCCAAATCTTCGTTCGCGAAGATGGGCCACTAAATTAAATAAATACTTCGTGAAAGATAAACCAATCACTGAATTGGATGTAGAAAGCCATTTATACTCAAGGTATAAATCTTATAGTTTTTTTGTTTGTTTCCAGCTTCAAAGTTTTCAGGGAGGCAGATTTGCTCCCACCTTTGTGTACACCACAGCCTGCCTGGTGAACATGTGTACATGGATGAGTGTTATTCAGTGTTTTGCTTTCTCCCTGCTCTCCAACAACATTCACGCACTTAAATGTATTCTCTGTCACACTCACAGGTATCCCAGGGTAGTTTCTTCAGAGTAACACGATTTTTTTCCCCACCGCCTAAGGAGTTGAAGTCTCACTATTAGTCTGGTGTGAATAACAAAAATTACTTCATTTCCTACTGGTGCTCTACAAATTTTGCTGTAATAAAAAAAACTAGTAACTTGGCTCTTGATTTATCTGGAAATTGCACTAGACTATTCACAAACATGCTTAAAAATAAAGCAATTACTGAGTGTTTTGATAGCTCAAGATTATCCAGACCTTACAGATTCAAGCCCAAGAAGCCAGAAGTATCTTTTCAGCTTTGCTGGTTGGGCAACAAAACCCTGAGCTTCCCTTTGCTCTTCAAAAGCAAATTACACTTGGGCCAGGAGTCTAGAAACTGCTGTCCTCCTCTGGACCCCCACCTTTCAATTAAATGGTTAACTAGACTTAGAAATTTTTATTTCTAGGTAAAGACCACTGCATGGGAATTACTCTAGGATGGCACAACTGCAGTAAAGATACAAATGATAAGCACTTTTATTTTCAATCGTATTAAGTGACAATTTTGGAGAGGGCCTAGAGACTGGACAATCCTTGCTGAGTTTCCCCATGCCTTCCAAGAGTAGATGTGATTAATTCAGCCTAGAATCTATTCCCAGCAGTTACTGGGATCCTCAGTAGTGAGGAATTCAACCATCATTTTCTATGCTCATTAAACTTGCCCCAAAATAAATTAATAAACCAAAAGAGCAATCAGTATGTACTGATTCCATGACCTTTTATTTAGAACAAAATGGACTTCACACCTTTTATAAGGGTCACTTCTGGGCTGAAGAACTAGTCATAAAATGTACTGTTATGCTATTATCCTTGAAAAGAAAATTTTGAATTCACTTGTATGTGTCAGTTGGAGATGAATAAATTATAAACATCACAACCCTACTGTGAAGCCCCTGAACTATTTATTTTTATTTGAAAGCTTCAAATATTTATGACCCTTATCCCAATGATCTAAACACACACCTTTAAAAACTGTAATTACCAGCATATCACTGGCTACACAAGAAAAAGAACACTCACAGTCAGCAGTATACAATCCCAGGAAACTAGATTCTCTAGGAACCCATTTCTATTGTCTAATAATGGCCAGTCTTCACGAACGAAGATTTGGGGAAAGGTCTTTTACCTTTCCAGCCTGCGCAATGGATTTTTTAGGTGAGACACAGCCTGCGCTGAACTGAGCCCACCCTTTAATCCTAAGGTTCATCTGCCGGGGCCAAGCAAGCTTGGACAATGGCAGTGAGGTCCTCAGGACGTAGGTTTCTGCCCGGGGGGACTGGGATTCGAACCTGGGTCGCAGCGGTGAGAGTCCCGCATGCTAACCACTAGGCCACCAGGGGTCCCCTCTATTGTCTACGGTGATGGTGGAAGCTGCCAAGCCAGACATCAAAACACTCGAGGCTGAGGCCACACACACACACACACACACACACATACCCACATGAGGAAGAGATATACTAGTTACTCCAGCTGGCAGTAGCATTATTTTTCATTTATTTAAAAAAAAAATTCACAACTTTTTCTTAATGAAAAGCAAACTGGAATCTGCGCCTGAACTCTTACTCTAAACATACCAAAACAAGCACAGTAAAAGTCAACTTTAGACTGGAAACATCTGTAAACTAAGGTTTATATTGCCATACCAAAAGCTGAGTTAAAAGAGAACAAATGAAAATATCCATCAACAACCATCATATTCTCAAAGATCAAGAGGTTGTGAACAAAAGCCCGACCTCCATTATGTTTTCTTCAGTTGGTTAGAAAGAACATGAACTATAAAAAGTCATCTAAGAAACTGCAGAAACCTTGCTAAGGGGAAAAGAAAGCCTTGAATTTCTCTTACAGACTTCTCATTCCTTTTCAATAAAACAGAAGTGAGGAACATTGACCACACAAATGCGTAACTGGACTATGATAAAAACTGTATTGTGGCAATTCAGTTACCCGAGAAAAACAGATATCAGTATTGATACAGAAATCTTTTTAAGTTCTCAAATGACATTAAAATTACCCATTACACTTTGAAATATGTGATTCCAGTGAGTAGCCAGAGATCTAGGAATACATGTTTCCGTATTAAAAGTGATAAAAATAAGCAGGAAGATACCTGAAACAATAAAAGGCATTTTTAGCTGGAATGTGTTTTGCTATATGCTACAGGAAAATGCATCAGATATGACATTATACTGAATCTTGTAGTGGTTCCAAGCAGTATAATGGTACATACTGTTAAATAAGCACACTTGACCAAATAAATAGTCAGTTTGCCAGCATGGTTAACACAGGAAGAAATCCACATTTTTTCTTAATGTAAACAGTAAGGTTTCTAAAAGACATTTTAATTTTAAGCATTATTATATTTTTAACATTACTGCATGCAACACTGTCAAAATTTTATGTCACCTCTGTGCATCACTAGGCAAGAAACAGTAAGACACTTGGAGAGAAATTCTCCAGTCGTTGAGTCTAGTGCTGCACACAAAATCACAAACATCCTCAGTAAACTGCACACCTGGACAAGACAGATGTTTGTATATAAAAGGCAACTTTATTTATATACCCGTAATCCTCTGCACAAAGATCTGACCCTCACGTTTTAAAAGGCACAGGCTTTTAAAAAGGCTAGAGTGAGGGGCACCTAAAATGGAATGTATTATTTACCTGATTTCAAGAGCTGCCTTTAAAAGGCAGCTAGACAACTGAACTGCAAGTCCTGCCAGAAATCAAGAACTGTCCCCACCATCATTTAAACACTTGAAACATTTAGGCTTGTCTTATGGATTCACTCTCATTCTTTGCATTTCAGAGAAACCACCTGCTGGAAACAATAGTTTCCTTTACCCTGTTTTTTAATCCTTAGTAACAGGTGAAGTGAAAAGCATTAGTAAACAGCTGAATGACCACATAATTATTTCTTCATTGAATACTTACTCTTACTTAAACCAAAAGTTCAAGTTATTAGTAGAATGTGAATGTTACAGGCATCTGAACACAAGTGCAAATTGGTTTAGACTTTTGAAACTGTTTTTGTACAAAAGCAAGAAAATAGTCTTTGGTGTAGGCTCATGTCATACAATCCAAGTATAATAACATCAGTCAAAAATTACAGAAAACCCATAACTTATCTTCTGAAATAGAAGAGCCCAAAGCTCAAGTGATCACACTGATTTACAGGCACAGAGCTCTTCCAGGTGGCCTACATGGTCTTTCACTACACTTACATAGCCACCATCACGCTAAATAAGATACATTTTCAAGCTGCAAGTGGTGGAAAGGACAGTGTCCCCACCTGTGCTCAGATATTAGCAGATTGCTTAGATGTGTGCAACCTGGAGCTGCCTTGAGACAGTGATGCAGCCTGCATCTCCTAAGAGTCACCAACCAACACTCAAACAAATGACTTTGAGAGGAAGAAATACTGGACAGAACACTCTCCCCACTACTAATGGCCCCAGTTTTAAGCTGGCAGTTAAGAATTAAATTTCCTGATGCCTTTTTAGTAAAAAGCAGAAGTGTACCAGAAGTGCATGCAGTCCTGGAATGTCCTGACTGAGTTTGCTAGATGTTCACTTTAAAATTGAAAGTTATCAACAGCTAAATTAAAAAAAATAAAATGACACAAAAGAACCAAAACCACAAACACAAAACAACACAATATCAAAACATATTTAAAAATAACACTCCTCTTCAGTATTTTTTTTTCCTAGACAGCTATCCTTACACCTGTGTTTCCACACAAAACTGCTATACCTGGTATAAAATTATTCCACTAAACCATCCTGTTTCTTACTTTCCAGCAAGGGCATACTTGTGTCTCTCTTATCCTTTTCATTTGCATCTCCATTGTCCTCCAATTGCCCCAATTTCTGATGAGCAAATGTGTAAGTGTCATGGTCTGTGTCCATCAGAGATGGAGATTCCTCCTCAGTGTTAGAAGAGCATTTAATGTCTTTTCTGAAGGAGAATGGAGGTGGTGAAGGAGGCAAGCTACCAACGCGTCCATCAAAAGGCCGGTACACATCAACTTCTGGGGCAATTGAGCCATTAGACTCCTTCAGCAAGTGTCCATAGACCACAGCATCATCAATAACTGCATAGACATGAGACTCATTGTTTTGCCTCCCTTTTCTGAATAAGCCTTTTTTTCCAGGCATCTGGGTATTCACATTAGCATTGTACACTCCCACCATGGGATTCTGGGTTTTCTTCTTCCTGTTACAGAGTTGAAATTGTTAACAGGTCAAAAACAACACATCTGGTGTGTTTGAACTCAATAATAACAGCTTCTGTTTACCCATCCCAGCCACAGTGTCAGGCAGTCTACCTGGATTAAAGGCTTTACTTGCAATCTTAGGAAAAACAGACTCTTGAGTCTAGACATGCTGTTTTAACAGAGCAGAAAATAACTTCACACCACCTGGTTACTCACTGCTGCTGTCTGACCCTGAAGTTTGCAAGATTAACTGCAATGGCCTGACAAGCATTGGGGGCCTGGCTGTGCAGTGTACCGAGTCCCACAACATCCGCTGACATTAATAAGACCCAGAGACCACTAGATCCTCACAAAACAAGGCTGAGTGTTATTGAAGATGAGATAGTGGGTCCCCTATAAAAGCCAAATGAACTTTTCTTAGTTATATTTTGAGTGACTGTCCCTAAACGGGAAAGAACAAAGGCCGAACTGAAGACTTTTAAGCCTGCATTTGTAAAGTCTCTCCTATGTGGCAGGAAAATGTGCTCATAAGTGCTCTAGTCACCGTATTTCATAAATTCATACCAGCTCTACAGCTTCTGGACCCAACCACCTTGACAGCACTGAGAATATATGAAAGCCCAAGCTATCAATGACTTCAGAATCTGCTTGTACAAGTAATGCTACACATGTAAGCTTTGCACAACTCAGTTCTCACTCCAAGGACTCATTTCATAGAAAAATACTCCCACTTGATGTGCACACTCCAGGAGAAGTGGTTGGATGTTGCGTAGGTGAAAGAAAGCTCTTGGTATATCTAGGTAAGCTTACAGCTTGCTTAAGTGAAGACTTGAATAATTCGAGTCACACACAAAATCGCAATGAATGTAGCTATTGCGTGTCAGGGACTGCTGGAGTCCAGCCAACACCTTACTTACAGTACAGCCAAAAACCTGTACTAAGGTCAAGGTAAGCAGTACTCTGCAGGTTGAAGTAATGTGACTCCAGGAATGCTGCTCTGCTCTTAGAGTCAGTCAGTTTAGAGTAAAGAAGCATTCCTGGAGTCACACTACTTCCACACCATTGCCTACCTCATGCTTTAGACCCTGGTTCAGGGATCTATATCAACACATGAAACAGATGGCCAAGCAGCTCTCCCAAAATACCTTCTCCCAAAAAACCTAAGTTACACATGCCAAATTATGAACTTACTTCTTCTTAACACAGCACACAGTCAGTCCGATAGCCACAAGAACTCCGGCCCCGGCTACCAAAGCAAGTATGATTCCTAGGTCTGCAAACAGACAAGATACAAAGACACTGAGTAAAAGAAAGAACATCCACCTTTCTCCTAAAAGCTGCCTAGGTTTGAACCTCCTCAAGAGTTTCTACACATACCAGCTGCCTCCAAAGCAGCAGTTCCCAAGCCATTCTCACCACAGAACAACACAGGCCATTTCCAAGAGGCTGGAAGTCAGGCAACAACCAACTATTGCTGTTGGCAGTGAAGCACAACCAAAAAACCCAATCAAACCCACCCACCTCCAAGAGTTTAATACAGCTCAGGCACTGCTGAACTTACCTGCAGCATCTCACATGCCTCTGCCTGAATAAGCAAGAAAGAGAAAAAAGTACAGAAACAGAGAAGGATTCAACAAAAGAAATCGAGACATTCCAACAATTTCCCCTCAAAACCATCCTTTCCTCTGAAATGCACAGGTTGTGTTGACTTGGGGTTTTCTAGGAGTCATAAAATTGATTAGGAAAGTCCACACATGAGCAAAGAAAAATGCTGCATGTTTTAAAAGAAGTATACATTACAAAAAAAAATTATTGAAAAATTAGAAATCAATTTGATACTGCTTCAGCTCTAGTCTGTGAATCCAATACTTCTATGGACAGCAGTCTCCCACAGGTGAAGAGGAAGTGCAAATATGAAGCAAATTTAAATAAGCAAAGACTACTCTAAAAATGTCCCCTTCCCCCCCCCCTTTTCTTTTGTTTTAACTGTTTATGTTTCAGGGAGATGAAAGAGAACAAGAATACAGATTTTGCTGTTAGCAGTCAGGGTCCACTCTCCACTAAATGGCCGGACCTGTCCTGGGGATGATTTCTTGCTTATGTGAACACTGAGACTAACTGAACTGCTAACTGAACTCCATGAAGTGAGCACTACTTGGATGAATAAGTTTGCATAATCAAATCCCAAGTTGTTCACCAGGTCTGTGACCTTGGAAGGGAGAAAAATCATTTGATCTTATTATACATTCTATCTGCTATCGCCAACTAAAAAACCTGAATTAAATTTAAAAAAATGAAATCTAGTCTTAATACCCTGATCCCTTCAATCCTCTGTGTAAATAAAAGAAAACCCATAAACACACCCCACCCCCCAGAGACCCCCACCACATTAAAATCCCTCCTTTCTCTCCAGCTCCTAGAAATACCCAGCTGAAACTCTCAGAAGTTTTTGAAGGACAGACATTTTCAAATGCAGAATCTCATAAAACCCCCACATCCAAAGAGGACCACCATCCATTCCTGTTACCCCAAGGGAAAGCAAGGAAACAAGCAGAAAACAAATCACCACAGCCTTACAGGACTCACCTATCTGCTTGTCAGCAAAAGTCACCCAGAACTCCAAGGTCAGCTGCATCCTGTCCACAGGTTTACAGTTGGAGATGTTTACCCAAAAGTTGTGATACATATTTCGGGGATCAGGCAGAACTTCATCCTCACGGCGCACGGTCTCCTCTGCCCCCAAAGTCTCCTCCTTTATGTTGACATAGGCACGGCCTGTCTCACAAGCAATACCCATGCGGTCCTTGGGGAACCCAAGGCGGGCAATTTGCTTGCTGGGCACAATGACGTACCAGGATATGGAGACATAGGGAGGTAAACCATAAGGCCAGTTGGGAGTCTGCAAGTAAACTTTGGCCTTTGGATTTGGACTCACAGTGAAAGAGCACTCATCTGTAGTACGGGAAAAGAATGAAAACTTAGTTCTAATAATTACAGTCCCCTCCTACATCAGTAACTGTCACAACAAACACAGGTATATCTGCAGAATTTCCCATAACCATCTACCCAGAACCTGGAGTGCAAAGTTCCTTCTTTCTTCCAGGAACTAACAACCTCACTGGTTCAGATACAGACTGATTCTAGCAATGGCTCCACAACTAGACTCTAAAGAATGGAACTCTTAATTTTTGTTTATCCATACGTGCTTTAATAAGCATATTGAGAGATTTATCACTGCACAACAAAGTATACAAAATACCTTACCTTTAATATGTGGCACAAAAGACATTTTCAAATCTTGATGGTTAGACTCATTGATGAATCCTTTACCAAATGGTTTTAAGGATATGGTGATATTATTCCTCATCTGAATCTTTTCAATGGATCCACCAGGACAGAATACACCAACATTCAGCTCCGTCTCTGGGGTGGCACTAACAATGCTGTAACTGTAGCTCCTGTTGCACCTCTGCTCTGGGACATGTTGCTGAAGTTTCAAGGACGGAGAGGTAACTTCTATGTTGATCAGATCAGGGGCCAAGAGCCTCCAAATAAACTTGTGCAGCCGAATTGGCAATTGCATAATAGCCCTGGGCACCGAAAGAGAATAGATCTTCCTCTGACACCACCGAAGATCAACACAGCCTGCAATCACGAAAACAAATCTCAAGGGTTGTATATTTCTTGCAGAGGAATTATCTAGGCACATACAGAGTACTGTCAGTTTTTCCTTACAGAACTCAGATAAGCAACTGCCTGAGAAAATATCCCCTCTTAGAAACCTTTACCCAAACATGTATTGTTTGTATTTAAAGAGCTTTCCTTAACATGGTGCAGGACACCAAAAAAACAAATAGATACAAACATACTCAAAATTCCTCACTCAAGATACTACTTTTGCTATATCACTTGCTGACTGAGACACTGTTACAGACTAGTCAAGGTACAGATACATACCTGAAATCTCTTTCTTTACCAATAGTTGAAAGCATTTAGGAAAATCATACACCAAGGGGACACTCAAGCAGCACAAGATGCATTCCTGATGGCCACCTTGGTCCTGAATTTTCATGGGCAGATTTATGGCTCTCAAGCTCTGTTTCCCTATTTCGCATTAGCTAGCGAGAAGATTCTTAGGTGATTTCTGTCCTTTCCCTTCTGGGAACAGCTACACAGTTTCTATTTTTAAAGGTAGAATGATGTACTGAACAAGGTCACCTCCAGATTCATTCTACCCATCTAGGTGCTCTGTATCCAGCTGGCCCAGCTGGCCAATGCCCCGTTTCCAACCAAACTCCATTTCAAGCCAAAAGGAGAGAGAAGGTTTCACTGAGCCCTGGGAAAAAACATGCAAAAGCATTCCCTAGGCAACAACGTTAAGCCACTTTTGTCATACTTATGCCTTTTTCAGCCGTGATCCTCAGACGGGACAAGTCCTTGCACAGAAAGGAGATCCTGTAGACAGTGCCAGACGCTAAAGTCAAGATGCGGTCGCAGGTGCGAGGATCCTTACAGATTAAGCATATGGGTTCAGACATGAGTGGGATGCGGCCAGGCCACCCTTCGAAGTGTATTGTTACAGTCATGTTCCGCTCCTTGCTCAGGTCAACCAAATGGGTGACATCTGCAACAAAAACATCCCAGAGCAGTTACAGGCAAGAAGCGTGGGGTGAAGCAGAACTTCATCACATTATACGAGCAGCTGTTACAGCTATTTCTATATCTTTCTATATCTTTACTTCTTTCCATCAATGTAATACAAACTCAGGAGGTATTGCATTACTCTTCTAATGTAGAGGTTTGAGCCTTTCCACACACAAAGCCCATTTCCCTCCCCCTTTCCAGCTATAGCAGGCTAATACATATGCTAAGCCCCATGTGTGGGCAGCTACAGCAAGTTGGAACAACAAGGGTAAGCAGGAATGGCAAATACTTTCTCCCATGTAACTTAAGGGCAGTTGCAAATACTTGGAACATCTGGAAGGAGGAAATAAAAGGAAAGAGGAAAAAATGCAAGGTTATGGGTCATAGTGTAGTTCACAAAGATTGACTATCATGTGGAAAGATAGATATTGGATCCACACAACAACCTGATGCTGCTAACAAGCCACGGGTCTCTATTGTCAAAGAAAGCAACCTGATGTAGTGGAAAGTATCCCTGCCCATGGCAGGGAGGGTTGGAACTGGATGATCTTTAAGGTCCCTATCAACCCAAATCATTCTATGATTCTATAAAGAATATGGGGAAAAAAAAAATTACACACACACACACACACACACACACACTCACACACACTCTCTATTACTACTCTTCATTTTCTGATTTTAGCTTTACCTATGGATCTCAGTGTCATACACAAAAGGTGAATAAACAGCTTTCTCCTGTGAGGGAAACCAGACACACAAAAAGGCAAGTGGTCAAATGAAGTTGTCCAAGTCATTGGACAAGCACACAACCAAGCACAGAACCTAAGATTCCTACCACAAGGTTACTCATTCTTCAGAATACTTTTTCCTGCAGCAGTCAAACGCAGCAAGACTCAGATCAAGAAGTTATTGTGACTGCAAAGAGCTACATTTTCTTATTTAATGACAAGCACCACAGACAGCTGTGGAATACCCAAATGTTTGGGAAGCTTTGAAAATATGCAGATATCAATGCATTTTTAATAAGAGCAATGTTGCAGATGGCAACCTGAGGGCTGAATTTGAATCTTTGATAGAACTTACATAACTACAAAATCAATCATGAAATCCTATAAAATCCCTAGAGAAACCACTGTTGTCTCTTAAATCCACATGGTTTATTACTTGCATTTTATTCATGAAATGACAACCTGGTTTTAATTTTGTAGGTGATTATCGTCTTGTCTACTGGCCATAAATATATTAAAATTCTTCTTGCTTTCCAAAGTAGAAGGGAAATAAAGCTGATTAACTGAATACAACGTTTTCATTCTGTCTAGCTTCCAAGATGCAACACACAATAAATGTAAGCAAACACGATTTTGTTAACAACAACTTTGTGAGGATTTACTGTTCGTAAATGTAGCCAGGCTAGAGAGACAAAGGATGGAGGACTGCAGTGGTGAAATGCTACAGACTCTTTCTGGATATGTGACTTCAGGGCACAGGCCATTCAAACTTTATTCCCTCTAAAATCACTTAAAAAGCCTCTAAGTAGCTCCTGTCACAGTGGTGGTCAAGTGTGGACTTTCCTCCACCTGCTCTTCTGCAGTGAGTGCACCTTGATTATTAACCTCCACCTTGAACTGAGGTCAGAGCTGGTAAGTCAGACAATAAATCACTAGCTCATTACCTAGCCAGGCCTTTTATATCTGTTTTTAAATAAATGCTCTGATATTACAAGCTATTGTGTTAAACCAATCTGACTTTCAGGCTAGAAAAACAAACAAACAAAAAAATTATTTTCTTAGTGTAGAGAAAGAAACAGAAAGAACATCCAAATATGTAGGAGATATTACTAGTGGAGTATCCTGCTGACAACTTCTGTGCCTATGTGACTTCTTCACACTAGATGATGTTCAGGCAATCAAAATAAAACTCAAAGGAAGGAAGAAAGGAAGGAAAGAAATGCACACTGATGCCATTAGTATTACAGAGTCAATTCTCCACGTCTCATTTCACCAGTTTATGCTACGGATCTTGTTACCTACCATGACAGCAGGTTTCACCTTGTTAAATGCAACTGCTCGTGTTGAGAGCAGGAAATTGGGCTCACATTTTATGATTTGCCTTTAAAATGTTGAATCTTACATCTGAAAGTAAAACTGTCCAAATGAGCTTGAACTTGATTTCTTTACTGGAGAACAGGCAGCCACACGTAAGCCCAAACAATTCCAACTGAGCATCTACAGTCCTTGCCTGATAGCTTGATCAGACTCTCAGGAGGAACACAGTCTATACAACATGCAAGACCTGATATTCCAGGTATTAAAAGCATTTTTCAGTTACATGATTCAGATGCTGGAAAGGGAAGGGAGTCTCAATTTACAAGCTTACAGGATAAAATCTACAAAGAGAGCTTCATACTCCATTGCAAATTGCAAATTTCAGCATCACTGCTCGCCTTGCTGTAGTGATGGCCAGCAGTACGAAGGGCAGTAAAACAGGCCTCAGTGTTGCTTGGCAACTCACCTCCTTAAACTTACAGAGGGACCAAAGTTCAAGGAAAATAACAAAACAAGGAGTATTTCTCTCCCTTTTGGTGCTCAGTCCAGGTGTCTGCAAGCAAAAGCAATAAGAGGTACTTACTCTCATCAAGCTGCGGATGTTGAACAATGACTTGGAAGAGCAAGCGGAGGATGCCCGGGTTCTGGGCATCCTGATCACAGCCCTGCAGGGACATATTGAAACTACCAGCAATATTGGCAGGCTGGCTGTCACTCAGCTTGAACACCTCCGGGTTGCTGAGGGAGCCAGGGATGTAGTACTCAACCCTCTCCTCTTTCCTTTCACAGTTGGAGAGGCTGTAGTTGTGGAAAAACACACTTGCTCTCATGCTTGAAGGAACCACAAACTGCCACGTCATGAGCTCATCTTCTGGAAAGCCCAGTGGGTAGTTGGGGGACATCAGGGTGATGGAAGACTCCCCCTTCAAAATGGATTCAATTATGCATAACCCTAAAACACAGGGTGGGAGGAAGAAAATATACAAAACAAGTTCCATTTAATGAAGACACACTGACATATCTAGCACCCCAGAGGCAGAGCATTTTTATTTTTACAGTGAGATCATCCACTTCAGCTACAGTTAGTTTATTACAAAACCCTCAGACTAAAACATATATTCAAGTTGATTCTTTTGTCTTCAGTTACAGAAGAGACAAGGAATATATTAATGCTGCATTTTCAGTTTAGTGGGTTAACCTTTCAAGCATATATACAGACAAGCCTTTATTCTTGGGAAAAGAAAGATCCTAGTTTGTACTTCTACTCTGGGCTTTGCAAGAGCAAACCTGCCACTTGATAACTGCTTCTGCTCCAACAGGTTTTGGGAAACAGAAGATGTGAGCTTTTATACCACAATGGAACAATCTTTCCTAAAACCTCCTGAATCTAACAAAAGCACACCAGCACAGAGTCTCAAAAAGGCATGATAAAACATGAATATGAACCGTGGAGTCTGTGTAATACACTTTATGCTTGGATGACTCTTGGCAGCATGAAGTTGGGTACACAGAGATTATGGTCCTGCTCCAGGACTCCTGTGGTCATGGGCAACTGCAAGGAGTGCCAGGAGTTACAAAAAACTCACATTCTAGAAGCTCATCCTGGACCAAGTTCCTTTTATAACTGATAGCAACAACTGCAGAATTCAAGTATAGAACAAGAACATCTCCCAAGAAGGATTTGTCATGAGATCACAAAATAACCCACTGATTGGTAAATAATATTTCAGGTATTTTAGGAAGATTATTACCCAATGTTTTGTGTTACTGCGCAGGTTGAAACAGATAACTGTATTTAAGCAGACTCATATGCCTCCCAGGCACTGCTTCCCCTTTTCCCACATTCCTCTCCTGAAGAAAGGCATTGGTTTGAGGCTCCAGAAGAAAGCTTTATTTAAAAAATAAGCAAGCCCAACTACACATCGCAACCATTAAAAAAACTCCCTTGGCTCATTCAAGTTATGCTACCTAGTCTCACTGAGCTGAACACAGAAAACCAAGAGAGCAGGTATGTTAAACTTTTACAAAATTTAAAGAGATTGGAAATGAATAATCACAGGATTTGTTAGGGTTGGAAGGGAACCCTGGAGATCACCCGGTCCAACTTCCCTGCCAAGGCACAGTCACCTTGGGCAGGTGACACAGGAACGCATCCAGGTGGGTTTCAAATGTCTCCAGAGAGGGAGACTCCATGACCTCCCTGGGCAGTCTGTCCCAGTGCTCTGCCACCCTCAATGGAAGGAAGTTCTTCCTCATGTTGAAGTGGAACTTACTGTGTTTTAATTTATGGCCATTGCTCCTCATCCTATCGCTGGGTACCATGCAAAAGAATCTGGCACCCACTGTGAGATATTTATATGCACTAGTGAGATCCCCTCTCAGTCTTCTTGCCTCTAGAGTAAATAGGCCCAGCTCACGCAGTTTCTCCTCGTAAGAAATGCTCCAGTCCCTTAATCTTCTTTGTGGCCCTCCACTGGACTCTCTCCAGTGCACCAAAAGAAGCAACAGAACAGTCTTCATAATTATTAATCGACCAAACTAAGATATTTTGACTCCAGAAGAGCACCAGCTTACCAAACTAAAAATTATACAACAATAGTTTCCAGAAAAGATGATGTGGAAGGGAGCTAGGGATAGCAGCACCAAAACCAGAAGGTTAGCTGAGAAGAAAGGTTTAAATAATTCAATTACAGTACTCCATACTTACTTTTTATGGAAGTCCTGTTAGCTATGTTGAAGCCTGAGGTGGTGAGGGGCGAGTCCCATGGGAGGTGCAGAGACATGACAACTCCTCCCAGCAACTTGACGCGAGACACTGAGCCATTCCTGCAGAAGGTGCCAATGTTGACCGTGGCGTTATCAATACAGCTGTTGATGTTGTAGCTAACGAAATCTGAGCACGTCTCTCCTGGTTCAATCTGCCTTAGCCATGGGGCAGAAAATTTTAGTTCAAGTCCAGCTTTTGTACTTGCCTTCACGTCCCAGATGTAAGTCCTGTTAAGGCGGGGCAGCTGCACTGGGTAAAGATAAACATCTCCAAAGGGACATGGGCCTGACACACAGTCTAAATGGAGAGAAGGAACAGCCATAATACACTCTGGAAACCATTCAAGTAAACAAGGAATTTGACACTTCTTCCTTGCTATTTTCACAATTTTTAGGTTGCACTTTTCTTCTACGTGCACTAAAAGACACTCCTGTAACATGGTCACATGTTGTCTCTAAACAGGCCTCCCATAGAACAGACAGGATAAACCTGCTTTAGTTGGGCTGACTAATAGAAGGGTTTCATTGTCTCAAGTATTCTGCCTTGTTTGCTGAAGAATTTAGAAGGTATTTAGTGAATAGGGTAGAGTCTGAACGGGCAAAAGAGTGTAAAGAGAGCTGGAAATCACAGACCTAGAGAATCCATTTTATCCCACCTCGCTCAGAGAATTCCTGTCAAATCATTCATTGCTAAATTTCCTACTGCTTGCAAAGAACTGTATTCCTGTTTCCTTGGTGCCCAGATGAACAACAAAAACAATTACCCCAGGATTCTGGGGAGAACCTAGAAAACTTTAATCTGAAGAATCCTAATGATTGATTGACACTCAAAATAAGCATACTTTAATCTATGTCTAAGCTCCAACCTAAAAGAAGAAATATCACAAGTGTATCTTGCAAATATATCATAAGATGTTGTGAGCATGACTATTTGCATGAATCATATGAATAAAATTCCAAAACACAAAGAGAATTATCCTTGAACACTATCCCAAAAATAATGATGTTACTAAAGACTAAATGCCCAATGAAGTTTGGGATCTAGTTGTGAAGTTGCATGTGTTCATGACATTAAAGAGTACATACACCAGGGATAACATTCGAAGTAAATGAAGCTTTAGCTACACTTCCAAATTTTCAGTTTCTTGTCTTCAGTGACATTCATCAAATATAAAGAAACATGTGCATGTCTTCAATGTTTCTGTTGTCCTTATAGATACACTCAAGCTGTTCATCAAATACATAATATATTACTCTAAGTGTTCAGAGGCTTTTGCCAGGGGAAAAAAAAAGATTCTTTGATAAGTTTATAAATTGTAGGAAAAAGAAAAGGCAGAAAGGAATTGGCACAACAAACTACCATCTAACTGCTTCCAACACAGCCAAGTTAACATTAATTCTGCCAGCTGTAATACAGACTTTTTTAACTTGCATAGTTTCAGTAATTCAAGGTTATTTATCAGTGCTCAAAGATTTCTTCTTACCTAACATTAGGTGGATATCTTAATACAGTAACCAGAAAGAAGGGTATGTGGTTTCACTGGAGGAAAATTATCACTGGGGGAAAATTTAAAAAAATCTGTATCTTACCAATATTTTTCTGAATTACCATGATGAAATACTTCTCTGGAGTACTACAAGTGAAGGTAAAAGTCACATTCTCCCCAGGCTTTATGTTGAGTTCAGACCCGGTGACACTTTTAATGCGAATTTTACAGCTTGGTGAAACACCAGGTCTCAGTTTAATTGTAACTGTGGTGTTGTCCACTTTACGAAGAGAGATGGCAAAGGAAGCTAAGAAAGAAAAAAAACAGATAACAGAGGTGTTTTTTTACTATGAAGATCACCAGCCTTTCCACACATCGCCACAGATGCCACTGTGTCCAAAGGAATATTAGCATCCACATTTTCAGGAGTCTCTGGTGTTGTACCAATAGAAAATGCCTTGGCTCTGTCAGTACAGACAACATAGAAAAATGCTTGCTGTATGTGCCTAAGAAAGGTATACAGGGAATTTGTGCACAACCAGTTTTGCTCCAATTTACACTCCCTAGTGTAATTTACTTCACACTTAAAAAGGAGCTCAGCTATTCCTTTCAAATTTTTTTTATCCTGACTTTGGCTTTCAGTCTGTTATCACACAGCCTCCTTAATTTCTGAAGGTACCCATCAAGTCAGGACTCAATTTAGGAAGTTTACTCAGTAGCCAAACAACAAAACAAGCCTCAACTTCAATCACACACCATGGTGAATCTCTGGGTACACATCAACAACTACTGCAGCCCAAATGAGGTATTCCGGTGATACCAAAAGGACATACCAACAGACATTTATACCCATGGTCATGGCTCTCTCCCACCCTCCCCACCCTTCACAATTTATTCCCTGAAGGTACAGGATGTCCACGCAATGCCCTCACCAGCACTGAAGGCATCTGTGGCCTGGGATACCTCCTCTTTGTCCCTGACATGACCATCACTGACTTAAAGCTTTTGGGAAATACTTCACAGATTTCAAGCACTACCAGATGCAGCAGCAGCTCTCACAGGAAATACTGGAGCCACAGAATAAACTGCTTGTTGAATAATCTTTTTACGGTAGCAGTTTATCAACAAACAGATCAAACCTGACTGTCTTTTAAAAATATATATGCAATACAAGACACCAAGGAGCACTGACTGGACATTCAAGATGACTAGAAAAGTTATTAGCATCAGTTGGATGCTTAGTAAAGATATAGCCCAGCCTTGGCTGAAGCAAGTAAAGTTTGCATTGAAGTCAACCATATCCCAGCCACAGGTGAAACTCTGAGGACAGGTCAGTCAATCAGTTTTCTAATACTTGTTTCAACTGCTTTCCCTTCCTTATTTCAGTGTCTGTAGGATACAATCATAGTGTCTACAGCACTTGTGCTTCTAGTGTATATATAAAAAAAAATGTACATAAAAAATAATGAGATCTAGAAATAAGGTTACTCCAAGTTCTGTTTAAAAACATCTGTTCCTCAAGTGGGACATCACACAGGGCTGCATGACAAAGCTCTGCCCATATGCCAGGTTGGGAATCCTCTTGCTTGTTAACCCCAAGAAAGAGAGATTTACCCTGGCAAACTTAGCCGTGCAGTACCCTGAGGGAGCCTCTGAAGCCATTCCCACTGCCAGGCAGCATGCCAGGAAGGTGTAGGAGAACAACTGGCTCACAAAATCACACCTGCAAGATGCCCCAGGCTCTGCCCAACTGTTCGCCATCCCTTGAGCACCAGCACAGTCCATGCCAGCTGCTACTGACACAGTAGTGGTAAGGAGGCTGGCCAAAGCCCTGAGACTTGGGGACTCACTTGGTGAGGGTTGGGGGGAGGGAGGCTGAGCACACCGTGGGAATCCTTGATCAGCAGAGCCCTCTCATGGCAGATGAGCATGCCAGAAACTCTCAACAAACATGCCCACCCAACTCAAAACTTCAGCCATCGAAGCTGCAGAGAGAAGCTTATTGCATTAGCGACTCCATTTCACACAAAACCCACCTGTTCTATTTAAGAGAGGTTTAAAAAACTCTCCTGCATTTTACAACATTCTCACGTTTCTCCAGGGCCTGACTTTTACTGCAATGTTTGGCAAAAGTCCTGAGGATTTATCAGGGGCTATTGTCCCTTCCTGCCACTGGGAACATTGCAGCTCCAGGTTTGTCAACATCAGGTATCAAAAATCTCATGGCTAAAGAGAATAGGGCAGAATAGAGTATTCAAAGAGATACCCCATCAAGCTTTTATTTGAGTTTTGTTGGTCTTGAGCCTTTTTGCAGCCTTTCTAGCTTGGAATCAAAAGACTTAGCAAGCCCTTGAAACTGCCTTACCTATCTGCCTCCAGGATCAAAGGCTTTAAATGAAAATCTCAAACACCATGAGGCTTGCCAAATTGCCGCACATATTTTTAACCTCAAGTTTACCAATGCTCTAAAACCATTAGAACCTGGTCACTGAGTAACTTTCTTAAAGCTTTTAGGTGATGGGACAGTACTCTAATCCAAGAGCCTACACTGAATTCTCCTGCCTCTTCCAAATGCCAGCACACTTTACATATGGGTTTTTGCCTTAGAAATGCTTTTGCAGAGGTTTTCAATCTGGGTTTCCTGAGGAAAAAAGATGATGGTCTAGGAACCACCTTGTGCAATGACCTTCCAAGCACACAGGGGACAATTGCAGGGGCAATGTCCATGGGGCGGGGAAAAGAAGAGAGTAAAGCCAAGCAAGCAACCAATGCTGGTCTTCCTCATTCTTCAGGAGGAAGCAGTCTTCAGGAGAGAAAGTGAAACTACTTCCAACCTAGCCCAGAGTTTTGTTTCCCATAACACTGGACGCTTTTGGGGGGGTTTTATTTATCACACTTAGTGCACAGAATACCTTTTGACCAAGATGGTCATAATTTTTCTGATGTTTAAGTCACCCTGATATGGAGTGTTAATGCATAATACCAGTAACTAATAATTACAGACAAAAGAGGTTTCTTTCTTGCATAGGATAACTGTCATACTCATCTACAGTTTATAAGTATTACTAAAAAGTCTATTTCTAATTTCCTGGTCAAACAGTTATCACTATTCCTTTTCTCATCCCTGGGACAGCATAGCCACACAACGAACTTGGGAGGACAGAGAAACACACCAGGACCACTAACAGCCAGCACTTCTCCACCACATGCTGGTGCCTGGCTCTGATTTTTAGTCATGAGGATTAAGTATAAGCATAACCTTAAACACATGACTAGTTTTAAAACAGAACAAATACACACTCTGACCTGAAATAAGGAATAGGAATTTTTAACATTTTGAAATAAGCAAAGCCTGCTTACAAAGGGTCAAAACAAAGTTCCCCAGCCCTTGAAAGACCCAGATTCTACTGCTTGGACTTTTTTTACCTCCTTCCCTCTCCTCTTGCTGACTTCATGACCATATAATCATTCTCCATTTGATCCCTCTGCAAGAATATAAAATATTTGTCAGCTCAGTATCACTTTCCAGCATGGATGTGACCCATGCCTCAGCTTTCCTAAACAGGACCTGAGCAAAATCACAGAAGTGTTGCAATGAACAATATATCATCATCCCAATAGGCAACAAGGATGCAGATCTCTACCAAATTAGGCTCAGCAAAGCTGTCTGCTAGAAGCCCACATGATGACATACACCTTTATTGCATAAACAAACAGCTTCCATAGATGAAACTGATAATTTTGGCCACGAAATAAGAGTGTAGTGCTGTAATGTCAACAGCAGCCAGCTAGGGATGTGCTAAGATACATTAGACTATCAAATCTAATTTTCATAGGAAAAATAGAAGAATCATGCAGAAACTATATCCAGTGATCCCAAAGTCACTACAAATAAATGAACAAATGGCTAAAACCCCCAAACTACAGCCACACACAAGCAGCACAATAGAGAGACTACATAAAGAGCATCTCTGTTGGAGAGCTTTTATGAACACAAGTGAGTCTCCTCATGACTCACACTAATCTGTCTTTGTCTATGATTCCCACTGCATGCCTTTTTATTAAGATTACTGGTAACTGGACATGTTTCTTCAAAAGAAGCAATTTTCACACCTCATTGCTGCTGCACAGGGATGACACACAGGATATCCAAACCAACAAGATGAAGCATTGCCAAGATGGATCTCATCTTTGTCTACACAACAATGGAATTGCTGGGCTAGAAGATGTCAGAGATGAAGCTTCCAACCCCAAGCTGGTTCACAGGCTGACGCAGACAGCTGATCTCACCCTATCTTTCTTTTCCTCTAAGCAATTACAGTTTTGCAGCCCTGCAGTGGATATTTCTTCAAATGCCCTAATCTCAATCTGCACCCTCCCTGTCACAGCTGGATTTCTCTATTGCTAATGCTCATTTAAGAATGCACCTTCACAACAGCTGTGTCATTACAGCATCCCTTTATCACTAGAGTAATGCCCCTCTCCCCACAAACACAGCTTGGCTAGCTTTTCTTCAACAGTATCATATTTCCAAACTTTTCATCAGTGTTATTGCTCAGAGCTCTCCCACTGGGGTTAGAAACAAACTGCATAGTATAAAACAAGTTGGATTACTCCAAGGAGTTTAGCCCAAATTTATCTACTGTGTTTGCACCTGACACTAATCTTATTATACTTTAATATGTATAGATAAATGTCAAAAGGACATTTTTCCTTTACAAGATGGGGGTGCAGTTTAGAAGACAGGTGGCAAATAGTTAAGCCAGTGGCACTCACAGAGAGTGTGCATAAGTATGTACAAGCTAAGGACTTGGCAGAACAGAAGTTTTTATGGCTATGTGCAGTGCCTTGCTAAACAAAGCAGGAACTAGAACAGAGTCCAACTAGTTTTAGCTAGACGGCTGCATTTCATTGCAGTAATTTATCCATAAGCATCTATGGATTGTTTCACATTACATGATGATGATGATGATAACTTGACTGGATGGATTAAAACAATCAAAAAAATCCCAGACAGACTAAGAAAACAAAACCCACAAGAGTCACCAACAACAAAATCCCAGATATTAATTTAGCCCAAAATTATGCACAAAACCTCTTGGTTTTCTCATTCTGCTTAAATCACAGCCTTGCTCCACTACAGCCATTTTTAATAAAAACCAGATGGATGAGGCTGACTCACCACTGATGAGCTGGCAGCAGGTGGAGGAGACAGGCTGCTGTGGAAGACTAGTAGCGGCAACACTCGCTCCGGATATGAAATACCTGTATCCAAACCCCGGTTCTGCCCGAAGGGGATCTGAACCC